CGGGAAATCTGCAGAGTTAAAGAGCTCCGATACTTCAATCCTGTGGACCAGGAGAATGTTCACATAGCAGGGATTGCAAACTGGAGTGAGCTGGCTCCCATGCCAGTAGGAAGAAGCCACCATTGTGTGGCTGTAATGGGAGATTTCCTTTTTGTGGCAGGGGGTGAGGTTAAACAAGCCACTGGCCGCACATGTGCAGTACGGACTACTTGTAGATATGACCCCCGCAATAATTCCTGGGCAGAAATAGCTCCAATGAAGAATTGCCGGGAGCATTTTGTACTTGGGGCTGTGGATGAGTTTCTCTATGCTGTGGGAGGCAGAAATGAGCTGCGTCAAGTTTTGCCAACTGTTGAACGATACTGCCCTAAGAAGAACAAGTGGACTTTTGTTCAGTCCTTTGACAGGTCCCTGTCCTGTCATGCAGGATGTGTTGTGGATGGTCTTCTTTGGATATCAGGTAGAAAATGTTTCACCCACAACTTTGAAGACTAAAAACATGACAAAACATGTCTATTAGTGGCATCAGTTTGGGACCACATGTCTGGGAAAGGTTTCCTTTTGTTTGCTGGAGATTGAGGTTTAGGAAAGCAAATCAGGGCCAAAAGAGGGGTGGGGGGAAGTGGTATTATATGTCTGAGCCATAGATGTTCAGCAGTAGGTATTCAGCACAAAGGAGAGGAGTTGTACGACCAGAGAATTGTGGACAGGGATAATGAAGGTGCAGTGCCTGCTGAACAAAGCAATTACAATTTAAATAGAAATGTCCCCAGCAATTTATTTTAAACATATTTGTATTGGTCCATTAAGAGGAAGATGTATGTATCCTTATCTCTTGATGCCAATAAATGCACTCTGATTCTTTTTCACACAATTGTTGGATTTAGTACACTTACCTTAGATGAAGTAGCATTTTTAAGACATGAAACTTAAGCAGAATATAGTGGTCTGCCACAAATATACAGGCACAGAGTGGGCCATCATGGCTTATTTGCAAATAACAATAATAATTTATTAAACTTGTATGCCACCAGACTGTAAATAACTCAAAAGAACGATTGAATTTACTGCCATGGGAGAAACCAATTTTTTTTAAAAAAATGGAAAAATGAGAATAAGATAATGAAAATGAATTAAACTAATATGGGGAAGAAAAATATTGAACCTAGGGATGAGTGTCCTATTTTCAGAGTATTTGAAAATGGCTGTAATTGCACATTTTTAAAGTATTTAATAGAGACCAACTAACAGGATACCCTTGTAATTCATAAAAACTAGTTGATCAGAATGATTTAAATGAGAATTCTTATGGACATTTGAAGAATGAAGAACAACCATGTTCTCTTAGCCTCAAAGAATATTGAAGCTTTTCTGTGTAGTGGTGGTGATGATTAAATTTATAGATTGTTCCTCATCAGAGTATCACACATAAAACACAGAACATGTCCCTTTCTTTTATATAGTGTATTTTATTATATTTTACTATATTATTTTATATAGGGTAGTATGACAACAGGAGCGTGTGAGCATTGCTTTCAGTAGTTATGTGCCTGGTGACTGCAAATTTTGACCTAGATTGCTGACAAAGAGATCCATACAATATGCTTAAAATGTGAAGTATTTAAGTAAAATGGCCATGAAATCCACCCAGACCTTTAAAAAAAATATTCAGTCATTTCTGTTTTGATGAATGCAATATGGTCTAGGACCACTAATAGAGAGGGAAACACTTAATGTTGGTCAAACTTTAAAAAAGACTACAGGGTCTACCACTAACCTAAGGAAAAAATAAGGTTGCAGACAAGACCAGAGTAGGTGTGATTAAATGAAATAATAAAAGTAAGCCAATAAGCAAGAGTATTCTTTGTAGGGGGAGCTTGAGAGGGCTAAATTGGCTCATATTCAAGTACTGTATGTCAAGCTAGCTCATTCTGAGATAATTGAACTGAAGAATTTCCTAAGCACTGATAGTCACTTTATGCCATTCTATATCAACAGCAAAGGCCTCTTCTAAACAGCAATAACCAGAGGCCTATATCTATAATTGTCTATAATTTCTTGGTGGTATATCTAGAAGACTGGTAAGCCTATGTAGTCTAAGTTCTTAATTGATATGTCGATTCTCCTGGCACACAAATGGCCTCCAGTACACAGTTATAAAGCTATACAGGCCAGGCCTTTCTGATCATATTTTCTTTAGCTTTTATTTCCCACATTTACGTAATATTTTACTCCTCCAGTTGTTGGAGGCAACAGCGAGAGGAAGTGCTGCTGCTTTCTGCTTGTGGGAATCTGCTTAACTGTCATAAAGCATGTTGGGTAACCAGACGCTTCAGAAAGCCCACAAGTGGTCTTTATTTCCTCCAGCTATTGCTTCCCTGCAATAAGCATTCAGCAGTATGCTTTAAACAGTGTGACTTTCCATGCCCTGCTAATGTGTAGTTATTCTCATTTTTTTTATTGGCTTGGAGCATCAGTGTTTCCCTAATTGGGGATATGAGCAGAAGTACATACCCATGCTTTTTTTTTCTAAGTCACATATATAATATAGTTAAATATATCTATTGCTCATCAGAGAACTATAGAACACAAAAGATTTCTATGTTTTGTTTTAATGTGTATCACTCGTTAAATGCTTCCAAGATCTTAAAATTTGTGATTATTGTCTGGTTTTAAGTTTTCTATGCATGGTCAGTGCTGTGTACAGGTATTTGGCTTTGTTTGTTTGTTTTTTAATGTTACCTCCTAGTCCAGTACTTCTGGACAAGAGCAAACCGGAAAACCATCACATGGTCTGCTGTATAATGTTACTCTTCCTTTGTACCATTCTGTGGGAGATTATTTTCAATAATACACCATCTGTGGTTTTGGCAGTGCTATAAGACTATTTTCTCCATTATTTTCACTGGGGGTCACTTAAAGTAGAAGAGAAACCTTTATCTCTTTAGTTTTTAAAATTTTTTTAATACAGCTTAATTAAAAAGCTACTTGGTATAGTGGTTAAGATATAATGGGACTAGAATCAGGGAGACACACAGCTTTAGCCATGAAAACTCACTGGATGAATGTGAGCCAGTCACTCTTTTTTATCCCACCCTACCTCAAGGATTGTGTCCTAGGGAATATAGGAGGAGGAGGGACAGCTATAGATGCCATTGTGAGCTCTTGAATAACAGGTGAAATATAAAGCTAATAAATAAATCCAATACAAAATATTATTATCTCCCTTTTTGAATAGCGAAGAATAAAAACAGTGCGTCAGCATTGAAACTTCCTGATCCTTTCCCACTATCCTGGCTGCAAGCAGAAAATTATGGACTGTGACACATCTAGAGAGCAGTTTGCCAAGCAGGTTCTAAGGTATCATGTACCTCATTTGAGCCATAGAGAATTTTTTCAGTGAAATCTGGAGAAATAGGACTGACACATAGTACTTTGCAGCTATCCACTTCTGCTTCAGATGATTGCTCATTTCTAGGGCAAGACTGACCTCCTTATTCCCACATGGAATCTCCTACTTTGCCAATACTCACAAAGAAAAGGGAAAATGGGATCCCTTACCATCTGAAAGGGATTATGGGGGTTTCAAATAATATGCAGTTTGGGCCCCATATGCACCTTGTATTTAATTATTCATAATATGTTTATATCTTTTTCTTTACCATTAAAAACAATTTTCTGAAATTGAAAGAGAAGACATAGCCAGTCTCCCAAGAAGATTAAATTCTTGGATGCTAAAGGAACTTGTTGATAGTTTGACTGAATCTCTAGCCACCTTTGAACTTCATAAAGCGGAAAAAAGGAGAATCTGGAGAGCTACAGAGCAGTTTGATATCAATTAGGAAGGTTCCAGAGTAATTGTTTTCTAGATGTTGATGCTAAAGGAACTTGTTGATAGTTTGACTGAATCTCTAGCCACCTTTGAACTTCATAAAGCGGAAAAAAGGAGAATCTGGAGAGCTACAGAGCAGTTTGATATCAATTAGGAAGGTTCCAGAGTAATTGTTTTCTAGATGTTTAGAGATTGTTTTTCAATGTAGTACTTAACTGAAGTCAGTATGTATTTATTAAGAACAAGTTTTAGTTCATTTTTTGATTGGGTAGCTTCCTTATGGGAGATTATAGGCATGTGAAGCATATAATATATACTGTAACTTAATTTCAGCAAAACAAGGTAGTTAAGTATGGGCTGGATGGCATGCCTGTTTGGTGAATCTATTGCTGACTTGAAAACTGAACTCAATGAGAGCTCATCAGTATTTTCTCATCAAATGTCAGGAAAGTGTCAGATGTACTACATGGTGCTCTTCAACTTTTTTTCTTAATGATTTGGATGAAGTGGTAGGAGCAATGCTTATCATTTTTGGAGATGGTACAAAATTAGACCATAGCTAATATTCTGGAACATAGATGTATAAACCAGGGTTCCCCAACATCTTTTTGTAATCCTCAGAGCCACTTTAGGTTAGGTGGAACCAAAGCTTTTTGACTTCTTGGGAGGCTTGAAGGTGTGAAATGGGCATCAAACCATGAGGTAAGGCATCCATTTAATTCCATGACCTTACCCTCTTCCACAATTCATGCTGATTATTAGGTTTATATCCCATTTTCTTCTAAGTACTCAAGGCAGCTTACACAGAGATCTCCATTTTGTTCCCACGACCACCAAGGTAGATTGACCTTAAAGAGACTGACTGACTCAAAGGCTAAGGACAATCCAGGTCTTTCCACTTCTAGTCCAACACCTTAACCACTGGATCTCCTATTTATGGACAAATGTAAGGGCTAAAATGGCTTAAGGCACCTATTTCACAAAGCCTGTACAAAACTTCAGCCCTTCCGAAAGGGCCTTTAATTTGAAATTGTTCATTCTGGTGATGTCATGGCATTATTTGCCACATCCCCTACCGAGTTTGGAGGTAATAATAATAATAATGCCACCCTTAGTTACAAGAAAGTTGCATACCTTGCTGTAGAAGATTCAGTTTACAATTATATTCTGATACATTTTTCTGTTATGGTGTTTGGAGACTTAATAAACTATTTGCAGGTCACGTGATTATTATTTTAGAGTTTATTTTTAAATACATCCTGATACAATCTCACAGCATTATCATTCCCTTCCTTCCTTCCAGAAAGTTGCATGGAGAAATTAAACCAATTGCTTTTTTATTGTCCCATCTAACAATGGGAAGATACCTCTTTTTCTGATTCAATTTATACATTTTCTGTTTACTACTGATATTGTTATCATTTTCTTTCCTTCTTTCCTTCTGGAAAGATTTTATTTTTATTCTCTGTTGCCTGTAATATTCTGCAAGTGGCCACCCAAAAGGTCATTATGGGCTTGTTAAATATGAATGGGAGAAATTGAATTTTCCATTTTTAAAAAATGGGACATTTTTTTAAAAATAAACTTTTGCTATAGCACTTAGGATAAACTTAAGTGTTGAAAATGGA